CTTCTTCTTCGTCGTCGTCGTATACGACGTTTGTTCATTGAATCACCTAGGTAAACATCACCATATGGACACCGTTATGGTTGAGTTCATTAGCGGTATATATAGACAAAAAAAAAAAAAAGAAACAAGACACGACATGGGCGGGCAAGTCAATCGAAAAATGAAAAATTCAATTTTCAATGAGTTTTAAACTATACATGAAGATAAGACAAAAGAAAACAACTATAAATGATAATGTTAATTTGTTTGAATTTCAATTGATTAAAATCAGAGTTGTAGTTCAATATGGGAGACAAGGAAGTAGAGCTCGTCAGGTTTAGGGCTGAAAATTTTGAATACAATGGGTACCAGTTGTCTGAGAATTGCATAAAAAACATTATTAATCATCGAATACAAAAAAAAACAGAAAAAAGTATCTCGTATTTTTGAGGTAGGTACTGTTCTCAATTCTGATTACAAAGATCCACTGAGAGTATCAAGATACGGATCTATCGGATTCGAAAATTTCGGATCCAACGGACTGTAATCATCTGAGAAATATGTCGGATACACTAGTTCCCGAGTATAAACTACTGAAAAATAATATCTCGTATCTTCGCGGCGATTATCTAATTCTGATTAGAAAATTTCATTGATAATATCAAAGTACTATTTGACCGGGTCCAAAGCTATACATTTTGGATCTGATTGACTCTCTACACAGAGTGCACAGTGGTTGAAAATCTAGATAAACGATGCGCTGCATTCCTTGGACAAACTTCTAATTGGACGAAATTTTTTTTTTTGAGCTTTATCTTTTAATGATTAGCTCATGATTACAGGTAAGTGTTAACTGAATATCGAATAATCATTCTCTTTCTTCTTCATGTACATCAGTGTTGTCGGCATCATTTTTAGTAATTTTGATTTTATTGCTTCGACCCATCATCATTTATTACTTGCTGTGCTTTCGACACAAATGTGCTAACGATAGAAAATTTTGGAACCGATAATCAATAGTATTGTTTGATGACGTCCTACTCGCTGTTCTTTTTTTCTTCTGCTATCATTATCAACTATGTTGGCATGTTCGTGTTAGTTACGCATCAAACGCTATTGAATCTACAAGTTCTTCTTTCCATGTCGGCAGAGTGCAGTTATCACAATCGATTGTCTCTTTTATAGAAAAAAACAAAAAAAAAAAGGATACACAACACGACACCATCTGTAGACTTGACTTGACCGGAAGGCAATTGAACATAACACCATTAAGAGCTAGGTATCATACACAATAATGTACAAACACGAAACCATCGAGTGACAAAATCGTATTTATCTCTTTTTGTTTTTTTTTCTCTACTTGTTTGATCTTCCTTTTTTGACACTTAAACACAACAGAATCGATGTGCTTCAATGAATATAAACTATTGAAAGACAAACCAATAGTTCATTAAAGTTGACACATCTATTGTCTATATTTGGATGGGAAAGAGATAAAGAATGAATGCTTCTTAACAAAATGTGTCAAAATTAAGTAGATATTTAACAATTTGGTTTTCATTATAACGAGAGAGAGATTCAAAAAACTCACATGCTGAGCAATTAGCAAGACTCTCTCTTTTTTTCTTTCTTATATAAACATTGCCATTATGTTCAATTCATTAGTATCCAACGGCGAAATATATTTATCGTTGATCTATATTCAACTAGTAGATAATAGTCATGTAATTCCATTGAGACTGAATGAGTAAAGAGAAATAGACTCGAATGAAAACATCACGCAGATAGACAAGCAAATACGTCACACGATGAACAGATTGATCCCTAAAGTACTATTGATTGTTCTACGGATCTTTTCGTTTTGTGATTTATCATATTCTGATTTGAACAATAAACTCGAAGTAATTAGTGATGAGACAAGTCGAGTGTAAGACAAGATAAGAAAAAAAAAAGAAGAAGAAGAAGAAGACTTAGTAATAGTCTGGTCGATGAAACATGAAGGAATGTGCCCATGTTAGCAACAGAAGCGGTATTACTTTGATCAATGAGTGTATAGAAAATTGTTGTCTATTAGAAAGCAATAAGAAACAAATCAATGTTTAACTTTTACAGTTAATATACAAGTTTGATAAGCATCAAAGAATTAAACGCTATGATTTTTTTTAGTAATGCTATATTGGATTATTAACAGCACCTCTCAGTAAATTTGCAAACGTATAATATAAATATAATTTTTAGAATTATTATCTGAAAAAAACAGAGATAAAGTAAGGAATAGAGCGATCAATATATTCACAATATGCTGTCTATTTACAATAAGATTTTATAGTTTTTAAGACAAGCATAAAAGAACTGTAGTAGCATATCCCTTACAACCGGTGTCAGAGAAACGATTATGAAAAGTTTTGTAGGAGTTTAATCTTTTCTATCTCATAATGGGAAATAGAGAAAATGAAAGTATCTAATTGAAAACTACTTCTACGTTCACGATTGTCTCAATTTGTCCAAAAAAAGGATAACTCGTCAAAACATATACACAGAAATAATCGTTCCATTCTAAGCAGAACAATATTCGTTTTAAACATTTTTGTAAATAATGGTAAGGTATGTGAAACAACCAAAATTCTTCGAAGTGAAATCGACGTCTTACTAATAAATCTAAATAAATTTATCATTTTTTTTTTCAGTCTAGTTTAAGTGTTATCCAGTATCCTAGATACTTTAAAAATTCTTTTGTCTATTTCATCTTACAATTTTTTTTATAAGAGTTACACTTGTAAAAGTTTTCATAGAACGTATCATTTTAATTACACCAAATTCGTTATATTTTTAAAGTTTTCTACATTGGTAATATTCTTTTTATCAAGTTTACTATTTGAAATTTGTTCTCTAATATGCTAGCAGCTAATTGAATTTATTTCTCTGGCATTTATTATAGTTTTATTAAAAAAGCTCTAGTATTCACTTCAAATTTTAATAGATGATATATATATATACAGTGGAGTGTAAAAAAAATTGCCGTTGCACTTACGCATTTTCTCGAGTCATATCTGTGAAGCGCATGAACGGATTCTTCTGAAACTTTTATCAGTAATCAAGGATGTACTATAGATTTTAATCAGAGCGCGACTCCTCAAAAAATGTCGTTCGGTAGAGCGAGAGACATCATGATTCGAGTGTCCACCGTTTTTCTAGAATATCAAACAGTAATATTACACTACCACGACTNTGCCTTGTTTTTACTAATACATATAAGAAACTGTTTGTTCCAAAGCACCGACGGCAGAGTCAAAAGCAACATGACAAGTTAGAAAATGTCGTTATCCTAGTATAATCTTTAATCTAACCTATCACTCGGATCCTTACCCTCGGTAGTTCCACTATAATTTAAGACAACTAATTCTAGCTGAATAATATTTACCATGAAAATTTTGATGTCTTGATTCTATTGTGTTAAAACGTGTCTGGAATGACCAAATGCTAAGACTATGAGTAGTATTCGATGATTGATGTAGTTCTTTTTTTTTTCTACACAGTGGTATTGTTTAATGCGTGATAGTCGTTTTTTTTTCTTAAATATATATATATTTATTTAAAAGTAGATGACTTATTTTCTTATGAAAGTGGGAGAAATTTTTTCTTTTTAGTGGCAGATTCTGCATCACTGCCAAATGTTACATTCATAAAAGTCGAAAGTTCATAGAATGGATTAATAATCTTTATTAGGTGATATTTCAAAGAACATTAACCATATGAACTTTGTTTTTGTTTGTTTGATTGAATTAAAATCAAAATATTCTATTTTATTATAATATAAATTTCTTTTCTAGATTAATCAGTAGAAGTTTAGATTTTAATCTAAATTTCTCATTGTTTTTTAAATACTTTGTTTTATATAGTAATATGAGAATGTTTGTCATTGCTTGGTTTAGCTGGAAGTAAAATATTAATAAAAAATGTTTCTTTGATTTATCCGAACATTGATTCCATGTAGAAATATGAAGGATCAAGTTCCCCTCCCCCCCTTTTTTTTTATAGTCGTGAGAGGATTTATTTTTTCTTTGTTATGATTAAATATCTCATTATGCTTTGATCATAGATCGTTTATTTTATAAGCTCTTTCTGACATCTTACGAGAATGATTACCTAGAAAATTTTGAAAGCTTTAAAACAGATAAATCTCGATGAACAGAGCAAAACATAACGGTTTCTCTTATCAGTTGTCTTTCTCAGTCACAACACGTCTGATACGACTAAAAAGTTTTTTTACAGATACTAAACACTGTTTGCGTTGTCTAGGTTTCTTTTATGATCTTCTTCCATTAAAATAAAAATACCCAAATCTTCAGGACACTCTTAAAGATCAGTGCTTTTTTTTTTCAGTTAAAGTTTTATTTCTTAACCCTGACACAAAGTCAATAGTACATTATATTTTCAAACAAAAAAAGAAAGTAAGCACTTTAAATATTTACTAATAAAAGTATAAGAAAGTTATAGTTCCATCGAATGTCCTACAGTCGACAGACAAGGACGATTCTTCACTTTTTTTTTTCAAAAAAAAAAGTGAAATAGTTTGTATACTTTGATAATGTTTTTTCGCCACAATGTTCCATCTTCTCCGAGCTTTTATAGTTATATATTAAAGTGACTAAATTAATAAATACGAATACAATATTTTTGGTAACTCTATCGATAATGTAATAATATGGAAAATGTGATTAGATTTATGGAATATATAAAAAAAAAGAGCATCCTATCTAATTTTATTGATGATTGATATTTATTTATAGCATCATTTATTAGTCTCAAGTATCTATATATATATATGATTAAATAAATGATGAATTGTTCTTCTTTTTTTTTTGTATGAATTGTCTAAATTGAAATTAATAATGTTCAAAGTGATAATCCTTGAGAGAAGATGAAGTGCATTGATATAGTTCAAGCGAGAATATATGTGATCGATGACTTATAATAAAACCTAAACATGTCGATTTGTTGAATTTGTATTTTCATAAATAATGACTGATATGAACTCTTCTCGACAGCTAAGACAATTGAAATTTTGTGATCGTAGATTTCCTGTCCTTTTTTCTTTCGAGAGCAGTGAGGAAATATCTCAAAAATCGATTGAGATCGCGAACAAACAGATTTTAATCTAACAAGTCCTTTTGAGAAGATGCTAAAAAACTATTGCACTTAGCAAGGAACTACTCCAAGTGACATCTATCGTTAGAATTCATACTGGACCTACAAGCAGGTCTCCGTGTGACTATCAATAATCTAATAGGATTGATCGCCGAGTTCTGATTGATTTACTAGCCTATTGAGCCATGTTTAAGTATTCCCAGAAAGGTCGATTAACGGCAGTTTGATTGAAAGTTTTGCTTATAGATATGTCTAATTACTCTTAGAATGTCTTTGAAATTTCTACCGAAAAGAATATTTCTTCGCCGAGCTATAAAGTTTTCCAGTGAACTGAATTTTTGTGACAAAGGACTATGATTGGAAATCCAGTATCTTGACGAAAGAACATTTTTTTTTCGACTGAAACTTTGAAGATATTCTAATTAAGTCGTCCGAAGGTACGTAAAAATGGTTAAAAAAATCTGATGAACTGGCCATAACTCGGTGACCAAGGCTCATAGTAACCAACCCTTTTAGACTTTTACTCTTCTCTCTGACACTTACGTGTGCGTCTAATATGAGCTCAAACAATGGATGTCGGTTGAAATAGTTTTCTCGTAAGTGCAATAGATTTTTAGTTTCTTTCCGAAAAGACTTGTTGGTTTAAGTCTATTTATTTGTGATCTTCACTAATTTTTGAAAGATTCCGTCACTACTCTTAAATATAAACAGACTGAAAATTTTCGAACATAAAATTCCAGTTGTTTCATCTATTTTAGAAATTTTCACATGACTTGTGAATTAAATTTTTTTGTTTGAAATTTTAGTACTTGATAGTTCATCATTATTATTAAATGATCTTAATAATCCGTCCACACAAAATCTATTTGATTATTCATCATCAACACCAACTATGAATACAATAGATTTACCAACAGTGAATAAATCTACAACTAATAATAATAATTACAATTTATCTGATGCTGACCTTACCGCTCTATTCGTATCATCTATTGTTTCAACAATACCTTCAACAACAACAATGGATAATGAGAATGAACTATCAAATAATAATAATAATAATAATAACAACAACAATAATACACTAGATGATGTTTTTTTACAACAAGTTAATGAACTTGTTTGTTCATCACAACAAAAATCTATTGGACCACCACCTGGTTTTGAAAATTATCATTTTAAGAAATCATTATCATCGGATAATTCAAGAACAATATCATCAATTAGTAATGCTGCTATTCAACCACAAGTCTCTTCTTCAGATACAATCAATTTTAGTCAGTTATTACAATCGACAATAGTCGGTAAAGAAAAATAAAAAAAAGAAACCAATAAAATTGTTTTTTCTTTTTACTTTTTCAACTATGTTAAATTATCTTTCTTGTTTCTTTTTAGATACGCAACAGCAACAACCAATTGGTGGTAATGTTCATTCATCATCATCATCTCATTCATCATTTACATCCGATGAACAATCTATGTTTTTTCCAATGTCTAATCATCATTATTCATCAACATCATCAAGTCAGATTTTCTCCACCAATACACCTTCTTCATCTACAACAACAACAACTAATTTAATTAATTCTAATGCTAAACCATATACACCCAATAGTCTTTCATTAAAAACGAAAAATTTCTCATCAATTGATACAAGTAATATAAAAAGTCCTATGTCAACAAAATCAATCGATGCTGATATAATAACAAAATCTGGAGATAATACATCAAGCCATATATTTGCATCACCAAATTCATTTTTTAGTAATAGTCATAAAGGTATGAAATTCATTTACTTTTTCAAGCAAAAAATTTGTTCATTGACCATTTATTCAATAATATAGAAATTAATCTTGAGAGTAGAGATGCAACATGTACCGGCAAATCGTATTACCAATCTTAGGTATAGATTTGCACTGATCTAAACATGTGTGTATAGACTAATGATGAACGCATGATAATACTATGGTAGTGTTGGATGGATTTTCGATTTTTTCGTTTGCTAAGATCATTTTTCAAGATAATAGAATGCACTTGTCTAGGTCAGTGTAGCACTCTATCTAAAGCCGATTTACAGCTATTAGAAGTGAACGGTATATAATGCGCTTAATGATTTCTTTGAAAAACATTGATAAAAAAAGTAACAAGCCTTTTCTGAGAGAAATACAGCTAATCCTCAAATAAAATTATACTTTAGTTATAAAATTATCTTCTCTGTACGATCGAATCTGTCATACATATCAAACTTGAAAGTTGAATTCAATTATACAAGAGTTAAAAAAATTACCTACATAACTAAACTTTATATTCGTGTCGCGTAGAGCCCTCATCGAAGAGCTACGAGCTATAATCGTCATTGTGTACACAGTAAAGTCTATCCTTATTTTATGTTTTGACATGTTTGAAAAAGACGTTAATTTATACAGATCAAGAAAATAACTCGGTAATCACCGTCGCATTTTCTATTTGAAATAGTCCAAAGAAGTTTCTTTTTCTTCAGCTAGTATTATAATTAAACATAGATGAATAATAATTTTTGAATATTCTTGATGCTTGACATCAGATAAATATTAGTTTTTATTCAGCTTTCTCAAGTATGAATTAAATTGAATGGTTTTTTTTTATAAATTAAATTATAAATCCTCTCAAATATTCTTTCTTTTTCTAATTTTAAGCACTTCTATAAATTCATGCGCATAAAAAAAGCATCAATCCCTCGAGCTTTCCAACGACTGACAAATAAAAGCTATGCAATGCAAATTTACCTCTATCCTACCCTACAGCATAGATAAAAATAAGTATGAGAAAAATGAAGGATACAGTTAGGATAGGAAAAAAAAAAAACTGACGCTATAGGTCTCTATTGATATGATCATATTATAATTTAAAATAGATTTCGATAACGTTTAAGATATTCTAAATAAACAAGCATCATATTCATTAGTATTTCTTACAAATAGTTTAACAAATAATCAAATTAGATATTTTAGTACAATATCTTACGAGAAAAAACTCATCTAAAAATAAATTCATTTTGAATTCATTCTTACAGTTCATTAAATAGACTCTATTGCGAATAAAAAAAAAGTAAAAGAAATCATATTCATAACTCTCTTTTTCTTTTCAATTATGACCGTTTTAGTGAGTTTTTCAACCGTATAATGATCAGAATATTCTCAGTATCCTCAAGAATAAAATTTTCAATTAAATTCATATCCGTGTCAAAGTTAAAGAGGAATGACTGTGAACTCAATAACTCAACAACGACAATAGGTAGCAACGTGCAATTTTCAGCAAGCGAAAGAGAACAACTCCAGACGGTTTTTTTTCTTCTTTTCTGTAATATTATATAAGACAAGGTTATTTGAAACAATCATCATCCTTGCTAAACATCGACAGAATAGATACGCACTTTTATTTGCACTACATTGTCATGTGAGAAAGAATGTTTTACGGAGATAATGAGTTTTAAAATAATTTTTTCTTACATCGTGTCACACAAGAAAAACACGCTCGAAGTTCTTTTTCGATTTTTGAAAACCACAGGTAGAAATCGTTGGATCGAAAGTTTCTGGATTCAATTGATTAAACTTTTTCCCCACTCGGTCGAGTCGTACTTTGATACTCTCAATGTAATATTCTAATCGGAATCCGATAGTTCACTCTAAATACACAAGATACTTGTTTCCCAATTTTTTTTTGTATTCAGTAACTAGTGCACCTTATACATTTATTCGATGACTAGAGTTTATCAGGTCCGAAACCAATCCTAAAGGCTGTGTTGAGTTATTGAGTTCATATCTATCCCTCTCTAATTCTGGCGTAGACATTTATTTTCTTAAATTATCTATAATTCGAGAAGAAAAAAACTTATAATTATTAATCTGTTAGTAAGATTTGTCAAATTTTATAATCATAGATTTCGCTTCAACAAAATCCTTAACAACTAAAACATCATCAACAAATCGTCAATCATCATCATCAACTTCATCATCAACATCATCATCAATCGATGAAGCACTTATTCAATTAAGTCAGCAACAAAAGCAACAATCACATGTGCCAACAGTTAATAAATTATTTTATGATGAATCTTTATCAATATTTAATTATTCATCACCACAAAATACAACAAAAACAGCAACAACGACGACACATATTGATAAACAACAACGTGCTGTACATGATAATATTAATTTTCTTGCATCAATGGCAGCTGCATCAACACCTGAATCACCTTGGCAACAGCCAACACTTCCATCAAATATGAATTCAAAGCATAAAATGCAATCAATGTTAGTTGAACAACAACAAAATACATTACCACAATCACCATCAAGAAATCTTTCGACTAATATGCATGAATTAATGGAAAATTTAAATGAACTATGTTATCGAGGTTTTGATGAACTTAATGCACTTATACAAGAACAACGATGGGTAAGATTTTGTTTTGTTTTTTTCATTTTGAGAATAGTTAAAAAAAAAATTTAATGAATTTATTAATTATAGTAAACTATATATGACTTTATTATATTTATCAATGTAAATATAAATTTAGCTTTCTAAATTCCATTAATTAGATTTAAATCATTCGATGATGAAATATATCAAATATTATAATTTCATATCTTCTTGATTGCAGATATTTTTAATAAAAAATAGAAAGAATAATATATTCGTGTTAAACAAACAAGCGAAAATAAATATAGTATGACGATCAGTGTAGATAACTTGCTTTAAGAGAAATTAATCTAACATTTTGCAATATTATTAAAGAAACTAATGTCGGATTTTTTTTAAAGTACTAACGACCATTTTCTGAATAACTTTTGATTACTTTGAGTTATCGAGCTGCGGTTTTCACCATTCAAAAGAGCAAGCCGGGGGCTACAAAATCCTACTGATTTTGAATGGTCAAGCAATTGACCAACCAGGAGAACTTTTGCTGGACAGTTTGTGAGCTGCCTCGTGCTACTAATTTTCGTTCAATTTGAACTTTCAATGATATTAANGTTATAAAATTATTTCTTTTCATTAAAAAAAAAAACTAAATGAATGGTTGACAAAGTCGAGCTATTGTTAATAAACAATAATTTGATGTTTTGTATTGTTGTTGTAAAATATCTATGATATCATTGATATTTAAATGGTATACAGATTGATTATTTATCTAAATAGGAAATTCTTATAAAAAAAAGTTTTTATAAAATAATTAAAAATCTTACTTTTAATATAATATCATTTTCTCTAAGATATTCTATATCTGTCAATGATTCAATAGCTGTTACTTGACATATATGTTTTTGTCGTTTAGAACGAACTTGTTTAAAATCTGTTTCAATTGAAGATTGTAATAAAGGTCGTCGACCATTAAGAATTGAATATGGAATTAAACAAGATGGCTTTAATTGCACTGTACCTATTGTCATTGTATAGAGAGTCATTTTTCTTGGATCATCTATATTAAAAGTCGATATTGTATAATAATCAGATAATGATAATGATTCATCGAATAGATTTGGTATAATAAAGATATTTTCATTATCATCATATTCATCATTATTAATCAATGATATACTACTATTATCGATTTGTTGTATTTGAACAGATGATAAAGTTAATTGATCAAGTATAGTTGCAAAATCAACAGGAGAACATTCATTATCTAATTGATCAAGTAAATGAAATAATTGATTTTTATTGTATTGTTCAATAGGAGGAGAAGGTAATTGTCTTTTTGTTATTTTATTTATATTAATTTGTTCACGTGATAATAATGAACGTGGAAAATAACAATGATTAAAAGGTAAAACATTTGATGTTGTATATTGTAATGAATTTTCTTTTGAAATAACTTTCACTTCACTACCATCAGCTCGTCGAGCTATGGGTTTATGTAAAGTTTTTATTACTGAATAATATGATGATGATGTTAATGATTGTTCTGATGATGATTGATGTTCATCAGTGTTTAAACTAATATTTGTTTGACTTTCATCAAAAGATATGTTTGATAATATACTAGGATTTATTGTGTTCAATGATGATGTCATTGTTGAAGAGTTTGACTAGAATATTATTTGATGAAATGCAAAACTTTTTTAATTTTTAGTTGATTTTCTTACTCGTTCTTGAGCATTAAAATATTGAATGAGTTCTTTCGTATTATTTTCAATTTCACTTGTTGTTTGTAAACCGATGCTAATCGATTCACTATCATTAGGCTTATAAATTTTTGCTGTCTGTTTTCGTCGATTATTATTATGTNTAAATGTTGTAATTGCCGTTTGTGATAAACTTGTTATCGGTATTGATGTTGTTCCATTTTGTTCAACAGGTGCTGAACTATCCGATAATTCATTAGAATGTCGACGACGACAAACTATATAATAAAGACATGTTAATAGAAAAATAATTGTTAATATAGAAGCTAATAATCCAACAAGCTAATTAAAAAAAAGAAAAAAAAAAGACAAATCTTTTAATTTCGATAGGAATATTGAGTTTTTTTTTTTTTCATACCACAGCATTCCATCCGGTTGGGGAATTATAAAGCAACAATGGATTAAAAGGTGATGGTTGTGGACATAATTTTCCATTAAGTGTTAATGTTTTAATTGATGGATCGATTTTAACATTGTCCGAAAAACTATTTGGAAAGATCGACATTTTAGATACAAAAACAATGTGCAATAATATATATGATGAAGAAATGAAATGTTAAATGTAGTTTGCTTTTCTTTCTATGAATATATTATCGATATGAAATGAAGAAATCGTGAGAGAAAGACGAAGCCGTCGAATGCATTCTTAGTCTTTTGTTTAGACTGACTGACCGAAGATATATATGCTGGAAGAGAAGAGAAAAATAGCGGACAAACGAATAAATCGTTGTATAAACAATTTCAAATGTGTGTGTGTGTATATATAAGAAAACGAACTATGTCAGTCCGTTACAACCATATTCGTATGAATAAGAAGACATCATTTTTCTATGGTTAATTATTCCTTAGACAGAAAAAGAAAAAAAAAAAAAAAAAAACAAATCTATGTAATGAATTTTCTATATGAAATTTTTTTTCATAGGTCATAAATATTAATATGAAATAACATTCAAAATCACTCATCATCATTAATATTGTAAATGCTATTTTAGGGATTGACAGAGAAAAACAACTGATTGCTATCAATCATTGTAGATATATATTTGAGACGAGAGATGATTGATAAGAATGTAAACATAATTAATTTATAACCTGAAGGGCTTATTGAAGAGCGTTTGTTTTCTTTTGTATGAACTGTTGATATTCGTTTAACAGGTGTTGTATCTTGTGATATTATATAATGCCAGAAATACCATAATTCATTTGCATATACGATTTAGTATAGATTTCTGATTCATAAACAATTGTTAGTATTCTCTTGTTTGAACACTGTATTTGCACTTAATGGAACGATAAGTCCAATGTTATATTTTAGTATGCTTTATTGAAATTAATTCTTTGTGAAATAATCAATATTTGAATTGATGTTTACATGTGTATTTTCAAGTTTAAGCAAATATAATTATAGGTTTTTATTAGAATGTCTACATTGGTAATCTGCTTAAGATTTATATAATCAGTTGTTGTAACAGAGAAAATACTTTTACAAACGGATATAATTCTTCAACAGGAAAAAATATTGATTTACATTCTTTTTGAAAATTTATCCACCATCACAATTGAACTTAAAAGCATCACCTAAATGCAATGTGTTACATGCTAAATGACACTTAATCATAAAATGTATTGATCGATATTTGTAACAATAGGTAAGAGTATTAAAAAAAATCAGCTTTAGAATAAAGGTAAAACAATCACGAACAATATAGATTATCTTTTTTCGTTCTTGAGAATTCTATTCGAAAAAACGATTAAGATTACTTTAATCTTTTCAATAGATTATATGATTTGATCAGTATATATTAATTACTAAAAAATTGTAATCAAAATAAAATAATTAACTGAAAATGACAATTTTGTTTTCAATAGTATTCGCATTTCATTATTCTTTTATTTCTTAATATTAAAGATACAATAAATATTTGTTGGACATCTTTTTCGGGTAAAAAAAAAAAAGAAAGAGCTAATAAAAAGCAACCAGAAGATTTCTAGAAGCTTTTCAAATCTTTGAAAACCTCTTTCATTGAGCATTACAGTTACATTTGTCATGCTGTGACTACTCTAAACACATTGATGTGTGAAATAAAACGTTTTGATCTATACAGACAACAAAATCATAAACTATCTTCTTGTTATAAAGACCTGTTAGTGTTCAGCGATGTTTGCTCTAATAGAAAGTAACTATTAAATACTTTTTGCTAATCTTTTGTAGTATTTTGTTCCAATAGGCGTAATACACATTATCAAATACTTGTTTATCGTAGACAGAAATTCAGTAGAAATTCTTCTAGCAAAGACATATTTTAGTGAAATGAAGTAAAAATGATTCAACCTCAACCTTTGGCAATTAATGAATAGAATGTAAGGAACTAATAATCAAGTAAAAAAAATGAGCACGTCGAAATTTCAGTAAGGATGCTTCACTATATCGGATTGAAATTAGCAAAACTATTTGTTGGCGAATTCGTAAACGCGTTTGACGAACAACATTATTTCAACCTGGTTTCGTAGTTAACCAATGGTCTTAGTATTTGAATCTAAAATATTCGTCAGATATTAATTGAAGACTAATAGTATATGAAGAAAAAAAAATCGCCAACATATTCTATATGCATCAGAAATTCTAATCACAATGTCATGAAAAGGCTTGAAGATTTCTCTTTTTTTTTGTCTATGTAGATAAAATAATTCATGCAATTATTTTAATTACAACTTGAAGACAAACTTGAATAGATACAAGAAATATAATAAGTAATGAGAAGACGAAATGAATCTATAGAACCACATAAAAGAGAAATGTGAATAACAAAAACAATTATTTGTATATGTAAGAAAACAATCAGTAGTCATATCTATATTAATGCCCATAAAATTATTTCTAATATCTGGGTCAAATTATTTATTAGCAATGTGATTTCACAAAATAAAACACGTATATCTCGTGATAATGAATCTTTCCAGAGCTAATTCTTATATGTAACATGTATTTTAAGTCACTCTAGACACCATGAAACATTGATTTTATTAAAAACAAAACTCGGGATTGATGCAAAATTAAATACTTCATTCTGTAGACAACCCTTGAGGTTACAAAATCACTATGCAAATACTTTATTTCAGCATATGCATAGATATATTTTATTGAAATTGATTTGTTAACGACGTAACGGAGAACGAAAAGAAAATGCTCTTATAACCACATAAGAAGTTCAAAACAAATTCTAAGACGCAAAACTCCTTCTTGCAAATTTATAGATGATGCTAAAAAAAAAAATTTTTATTTCGAAACTTGATAGGATCTCTAAAAAACAGGTTTTGGAGAGGAAGTTGTTTGATTTGCAATCATGTTGAAAATATCACTATAGATGCAGTTCGTGCTGTAGAATCTATCCTGAAGAGTTTAAAGTTTTTTTTTTGTATGGCTAGAGAAATACTTGCTAATTAATCGTCAATTGTGAAAGAGCCAATATTTTTATATATGTCGATACTGAAAAAACACTTATTTCGAAAAATAATCCTTGTAAAGAATCAAAGTCCAATGAAACGTACTTATGTTCTACTTTTTTTTTTGAGTTGATCTATTTAATAACATATAAAAAGTACACAAGAAATTCGAATAAAAAAGTACTAGAAAATGACATTCAATAAACATAACATAAAACAAAACGATTTTATTCCCATCAGAAAGAAAAACGAAAGATTATGTAAACAACATGCTGATATTGTTTGAATAGACAGCTGAAATACAAACATTTCTACTTTTCGTAGGTCTCGTCTGTCTGCATCTATTGTCTATTTTCATCAGATCTGTTTGATTCTCGCAGACTGTATTTTCTTTTACATACTTATATTATAATAATAATTGAAAGGAAACTATAAAACTATTTTTTCAAGAATGTAAGAAAGATATGAAGTATTAGTCAACAATTCATATAGGATGGTAAAAATAACCAATCAGACAGTGCGTAGAATCAATTAGCAAAACTGGATAAATAAACTACGGCATAAATAATTGTAGGCGTCATTTTTTTTGTTCGGCACTTTCTTCTTAAAAATATGCTATTTTTAGAAATAGCAGGACATTTTTTCGTTTTTTTCTCTGTTTATACTCTTTTTTGGTCACGTGTCTGAGAGTTCTCTGTAGGCTTTCATACTATGTATAAAAAAATTTTTCTACTTCAACGAGAATGTCAAGATGCTGGACATAACAGAGTCTCTTTTTTCTAATTAAGTTTTATTACAATTATATGAAAAAACACTGTTATAATTTAGAGCACCGCTTTTGAATTTTTCAGCACATTGAACTTCTCATTTCTTTTCTTTTGTTTAAAAAGTAGGACACTTAAAAGCAACGTCTTTGTTATGTCCTATATCGTGACATACTCTGTCAAACAAAATAAAATAAATATATAGAATGGACGCCTACGTAGAATTTTTATTTGTCAAATGAGCTATTTTTGATATTTGTTTATCGAACACCTCCAGAAAACATCATGTTATTGGGCTTCAAGTTTTAACATTTGTTCAATACATCCTGAAAGCTTTGTTTGATTCGAATATAACTGACCCAAGATCAGTTTTTGAGAGGTTGTAGAAAATCTTTAGTGCTTTAGTGTAGTCAATTTGACTAGGCAATTAAATCTTTATATATGATATTTCTTACGGATTTCGCGGAACATAGAACATTTTCTTTTATTAAGCAATAGAAAATCAGTTACTGGTACTCTTTATTTTGATTTCCATGTGATTCATTATGTCTGCAAGCTATTTGAAGCCAAGGTAAAGAATCTTATCGAAGTTTTGTGCCGATTAAATTTTTATTTTTTGTTTATCGATTTTCTTGAATAATAATTCAAACCTTCAAGAGTTGTCCAAATTAATTTATGTAAACGTCTCATAAGATAATATATTCATATTTTTTTTGTCATAAGTAAAATTCATCTTAACTTTTACGAAAAAGACCAATGTTCTGCTAGAGACTCTTGAATGGCATAATAACCTGCCAATGGTAAATGTTTCTATACGTTAGTTTTTATAATTCAAACATTACTGTATGATCCGCTAGACGAGCGAAGCAAATAAATGTAGGTTCTCATGAATAATAAATATACAGCATCTTGACACTGAGAAGAAAAGAAAAAAAGATTTTTTTTTCAGATGAGAAAGAAATTAAGAGCGTATATAAAGCCCTTTTACACATTGAATCGAATTACTATTTTCTTCTAATTATAATATGTCTGTATCAAAATTAGAATCGCTTCCTAATGAAATATTAAGTCATATATTTGAAAAATATATGAATGGTGTAGATATATTGGTTGCTTTTGTTAATTCACAAAACCGACGTTTCGATGCACTTATATCTCAATGTCGACGATTTTATTTTAATTTTTTTAATTGTCGAAAAGATTATTTTGATTTTTGTCTTGATCTTTTACCAACTTATATCGAACGAATAGAAATATTAATTTTATCTGAACAAAATACACCTGGTCAAATTCATACATTTTTATCTTTTTTTCCATTATTTATTTCATTTAAACGACTGCGTAAACTTTATTTGGAATTAAATAGTAACACTATTGATTGGGTAATAGCTCAACGTGCTATTATTTCATTATCTCATACACCTATTGATACAGTTATTCTTAAAGCTATGGAAACAGCAAATATGCCAACATTAAATTATATTATTGGTGATATATTTAAATTTAAAAAAATTAAACGAATTATTTTAATGAATGATTTTCACGGTAATCAATGGAATTTTTCATCAAATATTTCATCAACAGTTGAATATTTAACAAATTTTGACAATTCATGTGAATTTCAACATTTACAATCAATTTTTCAATATACTCCTCATCTTAAATATCTTAATGTTCGACTTACTTCAAATTCATATTATGGTTTTTATTATTTATCACATCCTTCGAACAATAATATTATATCAATGTCTAATCTTCATACTGTTATATTATCTTTTCAATCAAATGATTCGACAACATTTGATATATTAGCACAATATCTTAAAGCTATGCCTGTTTTACGTCGTTTAGAAATTAAAGCACATAGCGCACTTCTAGAGGCAAATGCTTGGGAATCTTTATTACAAGTATCATTATCTTTGCTAACTAATTTTATTCTCAAGACAACAACATATTGTGTTAATGAAGCTGATATTGAAAAGATCTTAGCAAAATTTGATACACCATTCTGGAAAGCAAAGAAAAACTTTTATATGATGATAACAAAAACATAAATATTCAAATTCGAATAGATTCGGTATAGGAAATATGCAACATGGTGAACAAGATGAATATAATCAATCAGTGATACAATGTTGGGTAGCACCTACACGTGCTCGTATTGATGATATTCCTACGAATGAAATTATGAGTTTTGGTATATCTGGTGTAACTAGTTGTTTATCAAATGATTACTATTTCAAGAATCTTAAACATCTTATAATTTATAATCTAGATAAAGATCTTCTCCAATGGTTTGTAAAATATGTGAATTATTTACAAATTCAATATCTTGATATTTCACTACTTAGCATTAAATCTGATACAATTTCTTTACTCTTATCATGTATTAGAAATCTAACTTCACTTCGGATTAAATATAGTCTTTTACTTAGTCATCAAAACGTTTATTTAGGAAAAGATAATTATTTGAAATATCTTGATATATCTGTTGATGAACATAATTTTGATAAAAAAGATATTATTATTATTTCACAACTGTTTCCTTACATAGAGCATTTAGCAATTAATATGATAAAATTATCGAATATTCCATTGATAAAAACTTATTTACCATATCTTCGTTGTCTTACATTTAAAATTATTGATTCTCCATTTTCATCTTATAATGATAATGAACAAAAATTATGGAATGATCAATTACGGCGAAAATTTAAATTCTTATTTGAACGTCAAGCAGATTCGATAACAATTTGGATTGATCAAGATGCATTCGAAGAATCTTACTGGGCACAGTTTAGTTCAAACTGGCAAAAAAACAAATAAAAGGACAATGTATTCAATACGATTTTTAAACAAAGATTTCATTAAATTTTTTATGTAAAGAATAGATTTCAATATACTTCATATATATTTTTTTATTGTAACTTATTAATTCTAAATAAATAATTATATATAATTGGAGTGTCATATTTCAAGCAAAAAAACTTCGAAACGTACAAATGATTTTTTTGTCTTTCTATTTCCATCAAAATCTATTCAACATTTTTTACGCGCAAAAAATTCCTCGAAAAACTTAACATATATTTGTCAAACTATGAATATTCACACAATGTGATTTGTATTCATAGTCATCATTAGTTCATGTTGAAGTTTCTTTTTTGTTGAGGACTATCAAATAGATTGATATGAAACAGAAAGAAGAAAGCAGTTGTACTATTCATTAAAATTTAGAAAAAAAAGCATCTTTTAAATAGTTTGAGAATGTGATTGATAGAAATTTGTAATCCATTTATCGATTTCGTTCAGATCATACGTAAAGGTTTCTTTGTCAGGTTCGGCTTTCAATATCAATTCATCTTCATAAATGACATAGAAGCGAAATGGCCATGAGCCATAGGTACTTTGAAAAGTATTATTCATGTCATCGACAAGCATAGGCATTTCAAAATTGAAATTTGTTTTGAATCTTCGAGCATTTTCGAGTCGTTGTTCAAGTGTTTTTGGTTGATCAATGCATGAAATTGTTTGACCAACTGGCCATTCATCTCGTGAATGTGCCTCAGCAATATAAATTGCTACGAGACGTATACCATTCGGCATATGTGAGCGAACAAGCGCGCTAATTATAAATATAAATGTTTCATATTTCGATTCAAAATAAAAATCTTACTTCATTCGCTCAACATTTGCACGAAATGGAGGTCAGGTAGTTGAGCCAGCCAATATTATTAATGGTTGGCCAGCTGAAATTTGTGAAAAAAGAGTTATTGGTTGACCATCGGTAGTATACAAATTGATATCTCGAGCACATTGGCCTTGTTGAACTACACCTTGTGAAATTTTGTTATATTTAACTAAAAAAAATGTTAAAAGTAAACCATATTTCATTAATTCAAATTTGAAACATTATTATTCATGATTAGTATTTTAAGAACAATTCTTTTTCAAAGACTTACCATAAAAGGCTGTCTGAACAATAGGATCATCTGGAAAGCGATGCAAAGCAGTGCGTAATGCATTAACATCTCGATATCCAAAATGTTCGACGACATGTTGTTGAATGAGATTATGTACATAACTAAAGTTTCAGAATAATTCAATTATCGTATCTTAAGAAGAAAAAGACAAAGTTATATTTACGTAACAGCACATTCATCAGTATGGTATTCATCCATGATTTTTTGAATTGAATCAGACAAACGAAGACGTGTTTCATAAAGAACCATTTCGCGAACTATTTCAATTGAAGGTAATTCATCAGACAATTTAACTGTCTCAAATCCCATATGACCCGATGTGGGAAAAAACATTCGACACATCATGAATGGTTCAGTTCGTAGTCGTGAAGGTGGTGATGGAGGTGGTGGTTGATAGCGTGGCAATTCGGGAAGGGACCCTTGAATAGATAATCCATTATTACCAGACGATGGTGGTCCTTCGGCAGCTATTGCCTTTGCTGTCTTTCGTGCTATTTCAGCATAAAGATTTTCAAGCGAAGACGTCTTGTTGACGTCCATACTCTTCGCTTTTTTTATATAAATACCATGTAAAACGCAAGAGACTCATTCTTTTTTACGTCAAAGAATATGCGACAAAAGGAAGAAAAAGAAAAAAACTCTGTGTTCTTGCACCATTGCATTCACAATATTTACGTCGGTAACACATCGCATGACTGTTTTATTAGTAGTACTGCACAAGAAATAGCAAACAATATGAATCATCATCTATACTATTACAGATGAATCACTGACAATTTTTTATTACGAAGCAAATAATAGAAATTTTTCGTCTTTATTATTACGTATGAAAAGAATCAGTTTTAAGAGAATAGTGTTTTTTGTTTATTCATGAAGAAAGTAAATTTGTATTTATTCGAATATTAAACACGTCGTGAAAATACATATCCTATTAGAAAGAAATCGTTTTTACAGAATGGGATCTATGACTACTAACCATTTCGAAATGTAATATGTTCCACTATTTTTTTTTGAATAGGTTTCGATAGTAACATCATAAAGACGTGTGGCTTTCAATTTAGATTAAGTTAGAGGTATGTTTCTGACAAACCTCGACTTCTACCCATTGATCTATGATGATCGAGACAAGCAGATAGGCAGGCATCATTCAGCATGTTGTGCCGATTGGTAATATTTGTTTTGCTTTTGAACTGATCTGGCAGTGTTATCTCAATATTTCTAAAATTCTATAACCAGCCTTCATGTAACCAAAGAGTCGACATTTGAGAAATACTGAGATAACAGTATCAGACCATCTAAAATGCTAAAAACAAGCATTACCATTTGACTAAGAATAATGAATTACCCATGCCTGACTAGTTTTCCGAATGATTACAATTCAATTGGCTGAAATCGAGAATCTCAGAAAAAGTCTTCTAACTCTCAAATGGAACAAGCTAGGAATGCCGGCCTTATGTAGATCAAAAGAAAAGGATTTTTTTCTATCGATTAATTCTGCTAGAAGTCTACATCAAAATGGAAACAGCTTCAGTATGTCGTTTTTTTCAAAAATCTTCACCAAGAACTTACATGCTGAATCAATTGCTGACCAATTAAATTTCGATGACCATGGATTTTCCCTCTTGAATGGTGAAAATCGCGGGTCTTTGTAATGTTCCTACCAATAGTTATTCAAAAAATGGTCGAGCACATTTTATTTTGAAATGAATAATAGTACTAAACTGAAAAAGAAATTTTGATACAACTAGTATAAGTTTTCCTTAGATTTCTTCTAGTTATACTAAATAAAATAGAAAACCTATTCCTACTCTTTACACATCGACATTTGCTCGATGCAAAATCTTGAATCTAAAAATTATACTCTAAATTTTTATTAAATAAAAAACAATTCATCTCTGAATCTACATGTGTTTACTAAATAAATCGAATTTATGAATTTTTCAGAACTTCTAAAACAGCTAATTGAATACTTTTCATTTTGTTTATCAAAAAAATGTATAAATAAAATTCTTGTTATTATTCTTAATACTCTTACATAGTAGTCATCAATTGTTCATTATCAAATATTATCTAACAATACTTGTTGAACTGAAGTGACGCATACTTGATATTAAGAATTTTGTAACAAATGTGAAGGTTTCATATATAAAATACATCGATGTAATTAAGAAAAATGTCAAAACAAGTATGCTAAAACAATTCGTCTGAATAAGATAATTATTAAGTTATGTTTTAAACATGTAATTTAACGAAAAAAACAATGTTTGCAAATATTTCAAATAATTAAACTTCAATTTTTTAATCTTGAGTAGTACAATATTCTTTTTCTTCACATAAAAATTTAAATGATATGAGCTATCTCAGCTGTCAGCTTTCCTATACGAGCAGAACTAACGTTAGATATTTCTTTTAATTTTCACAGCAGTTCAAGATTCTTGACACCTGGGAAAATATTTTGAGAAGACAAGTGAAGCCTAGTGCCCTATTGACGATGCGCAGTTTTAACATGATGAGATAAAAATAAAAGCTTTTTTAAAATTTCCGACCTATGTTTTACTTTTGCTCGCATGACCCAGCATGATCGCTAATATACCGATAGTAGATTGTCGGACGGATAATAACTGTGAGTTCCGACTTGTTGTGTCCTAGTAGAGTTCATTAGAACGGTACAACTCGAGATTTAAAGAAGATTTGAAGCATAGTTATTAGAAATGTTTGAAACAATTTTTTACAATCATTGAGTTACATGTTTCAAATCTAACGTGATAAGATTAGTTCATCAATGAGAAATTAAATATAAATTACTATTGAACTTATTATTGGTATCATGAACACATCGTTTTTAGTACAGTACTCACAAGCTTCAGAAGAGTCAACGCGATATGTGGAGATATGCCATTCTTTGATAGAGCTCGTTGAATTCATCCGAGTCTGAACATTTTGGACCCGACGATCTCTACCTCTCGGCTCTTCACGCTGAATCAAACATTTCTAGCGTGAATAATATCTTTTTATGCAGCACAATTCGTACAATTATAGAGGTTTATTTTTTACAAAACTTTTTAGAGTTTTACGATGTGCATGACAGGACGAGAACAACATGATAAGTAAGAAAAAGAACATTATAATTTTTGATTATATGTGTCTATTTGTATTTGGTTTTGACATGTCTATTTCATCAAAAAGGTTTCATAGTCCATTTCTCATATTTTATCTTTAGTCTTCAATTTGTAAAATAAAATTATTGCGGAGTAAATACACCAGTTCGTGGTTTAGCTAATCTTTGTTCTGGAAAAAATAGAAGTTTTATTTGGTTCATCATTTTTCTATTCATCCATCCCGGTATTGTATGTTGAACAATAAATGGTGTCAACAATGAAGTTATATAAGGTCCATATATGAAAAATAGAGCAACATTGGGATCAAAGAAAGACAATATTCCATTGACTAATAATTGAAGAATTATTGAATAAGATAACCAACACATGATATATGCACCAGCAATTATACTTGTTTGTATAATCATTTTTCTTGCACGATACCATTGTAAACGATGAAGACTGTGTTTTTGAATAACAAATCTAATAGGTAATAGAATACTTGCAATAATTGTAATTGCTGTAGGTGCAAAAACATTTAACCATATATGAACCATTCCAAGATTACGTACACGTATTCCACATGTATAACCACACATAAAACGTGTATAATCAAAACTTATATCACCACATGATATGAAAGCATTTATAATAATAAAATAGATTAAAACAGATAATATAGTAAGACAAAGTGGAATATAATGAAGTAATAAACGTGAACGATGTGTACGATAAAGATGATTATGAAAAACAAGAAAATGACGTTCAATACACATAAATGCCATAAGCATACGATTTAATCCAGTCATACTAAAAAATGAAACATTATAAAAAATACAAGCCCATGTTGTACGAATAGGTACCGTATTCAACCATAAATATGCTTGTGTAAAAGGTAAATCAATTCCAATTGTCCATATAGATACTAATAATAAACAACCAAGTACATGATTTTGTAACTGTCTTAATGGATTATTGTTTTTACTAAATCGAACACTTTGTACAGCACAAAAAAATGAAGGAATTTGTATAATAGTTGTAACAATCAATATTACAGTGTTACTGTTCATCGTTCAAATATTGTTAAAGAATGAAACTAAAACTAAAAATGAGATATAACTACTATAAGCAATGTTTTTAACATCATCTGTTTTTGTCATGATCATCAACAGAGGCGTAAATTCTATGATACTCTTCTTTTTTTTTCTCATTATAAATTAATATCAAAGAACGCTTATATCGGGGAGTCATAATGATTATGATGTCAAGTATTTTACAAATATTTCAGCACAGATAAATTACATAATCTTGACTTTTATTTTTAAAGGTGAACCATAAAATTTTCTACAATAATACTAAGAAGAAATTCTATTAAGTTAGTCTGATTATTCTTTTTTTGTAAGGCTAAAAATGAAACACTGTGTGATAATGAAGTGTCCCGCTATTCTGAGAGAAATAAAGGTAAAAATAACATTGATTATTTTGTATAGTATATTCTGATAAATTGTTATTATTTTATCAGTTCGAATGTAATTGGTTTTTTCGTCATCAAAACTGGTATCTGCAACAAGATGTAGCAATATCACATACTGATGAAAAATCCTAAGAATGGTGTAAGAAGAACTTCAAATTGTTCATATCTAAAGATCAGTAGACTTCTAACTCACTAGACTTGAGTCTATTAGATTATTCTATCTAGGATAGTGTCAATAAAAACGTTGATTATCACAAAATCAAAACACGAAATGACTTGAAGAAAAAAACATAACAAGAGTATATTAGAATTTATGTTAGCTATGTTCTCAATATGATTGGATGTTTTCTTCAGAGAGTTCATGTTGTTGAACAACATAATAGCGATCATATTTTTCATAACTATTCATAATTTTTATGTTATTTCGCTTGAATTGTTTTTAGAAAGTAAATGATAATATCATTAAAAATGTTTGTTTCCTCTTAAAACATTGGGACTTTTCATTATTACACAGTGCTTCACTTTTAGTCTTATAAAAGAAACCATCAATCAAACTAACTCAATAGGATTTATCCTTACCATTCTAATAGGAAATTTCACGGCGCATCTTTAAAAAAAATCAAGATTATATAATTTATCTCTGATGAGATATTTGCAAAATAATAGATGTCATAATCATTATGATTTACACGACATATACAGTAGTAAACCAAAGTCTCTGTACCAAACAATCTTGGCCACTGTATACGTGTTGAAGATCTGAAAATTTGTGTACACGTACTTTGCCAACAACGTAGGTTATTTGCATTGCAACGCCGTTATTGCTTAATTACAAAAAGAGCTATTATAAACGGCACCTATTTTTTTGTACTTTGAATATGATAACCTAAAAAAAGAGTGCTTAACAATTTTTCCACTGTTTCTTACTAAAAATATGATTAATTATTAATATTTTTACATGTAACTGA